GTTTTTTGTCCTCCGAGAATATTATGTGTGAGATAAAGAATATCCAGTGTTTCGGTGTTCGAGAAATTTAGGCATCCCGATCATGGAACGCACAGTCGTTCACCACGCGATACGTACCCATTAAAGCATGCTGATTGCAGCTGGAGACGTCTATTTTAAGATATCACCAGAGTTTTTGTGAGAAATAGATGGACACTATTGGCAGGTAGTGTTTTCGCAAAACAAATTCAGTGTGGTTCATTATTATTTAGTTTACAGTGGTGAGTTATAGGATATGCATTTGGCTCAAAGAATTGAAATCCAAAGGATATTGGTCTCATTTGTTGATTTTTCGTCATAGAGGAAATTTTGGTGTATGATGCCACCTTTTCAAAGTTATGGTGTTACGTTAATGATGGCATTGGATAATTGAGAAAAAAATGCCTGAATTTGAATAGACATATTTAGAGACAGTTTGTTAAGTAATGCTGGTGACTACAGTTTTATAGTTAATTATTAATGAATAGATATGTAGTCTCATGATCTATTTCATATTTCAGGTTTTTGACACAAACTTAGTTGTACCTGTGACACCACGGATAAGAATGAAAGATCGCAGAGGATCCGGCTAGAACTTATTCGCCAGCAGCTGGTGAAGTGGAGAGAAGTCTTAATGACCAGAATTACACTGTTCTTGACTCAACATTTTTCAATAAAATTTTATTTTCAGAACCAATTTCTGAAGTTGTTGTTATCTACATTTAAAAAATACTGTGTTGTTTTCATTTATCGCCCCCGGGGCGTTAAAAAAACGGAAACTGGGGGCGTTAATTAGAAGCACATTTGCATAAAATTTTTGTCCTATAAACCCCTTGTTCACGTACGACAAATAAGCAGCACAAAATTATTGTAGACAATACGGTAGTCCGCTGACCGAGACAAACTTGTCAACAGATAATAGTTATTGTTTTTATCTCTGAGGAAATTTGATACACGCATCAGTTTGAATTCGTTTACGTGGTGTTGTAACAATAGATTTAATGACTTTAATCGAATACACAATGAAGTACTTCTTCTGGCGAGGCCAGAAATAGGAAACATAACAAATGCATTCAACTGAAAGTAATCGCGTAGCGGACGTAAAAGGAAAGACCATGCAGCAATTATTTTGATCACGAATGCTGTCAGTAGTTGACGTTTACTTGAAGTTCAACGTTAGTTTTTGTTCTTTCTTAATACACTTGGATATTTAAATTTTCAAGTCAGGTAATTTCTTTTCATTTTTTCACCCAGGGCCGCGCCTATTTAGAAGGGGGGCTATAATAGAAACAATACAGGTATCTGTCCTGGGAACAGGATTCATGGGAATAATGTGACCTGTCCTGGAACAGACTTTCCTGGGATATGTGACTGTCTGGGAACAGGGACTTTCCCTGGGATAATGTGACTATCCTGGGAACAGGACATTCCTGGGATAATGTGACTATCCTGGAAAAGACTTTTCTGGGATAATGTGACTATCCTGGAACAGGGACTTTCCTGGGATAATGTGACTATCCTGGAACAGGACTTTCCTGGGATAATGTGGACTATCCTGGGAACATGGACATTCCTGGGATAATGTGACTATCCTGGGAACAGGACTTTCCTGGGATAATGTGACTATCCTGGGAACAGGACATTCCTGGGATAATGTGACTATCCTGGGAACAGGACTTTCCTGGGATAATCTGGATGTGATGTCCTATAGACTAATGTTATAATGTATGTGAGATCACCATAGTATATATGTATGTTGTATGTAATATGAGAACGGGACTTCCGGGAAAACATGGAACCTTAGTAAATACGATTCAAACAGATACATAGTTGTTATCAATAAATATCCACCATTAGGACTTATCATCTGGTGACAAGGATGGGGCAGGGATTTCCTGGGAATTCTGTGACTGTCCTGAAGAAACAGGTGACATTCCTGGGATCAGGACATTCCTTGGGAACAGACTTTATAGGACCGATTCTTGTCAATAATTGCTTACCTGTTCTCTTTTACTGTCTTAAGATATTTGGAAGTCCACAGTTTACAGCATAACAAAGTCTCAGGATTATCCAAGGCTTCTGTTTTTTTCAGGACAAATTCCTTGAGACCTCTCAGATTTTCCTGGGATCGTTTCAGGATTTCCTGTTATTTTCTGCATGGGAAATCAAGGATTGATAGTGCATAATGAAAGCAAAAAGAACTTTTTCAGTGTTAGTTGACTTATAATTTAATTTAGATTTGACTCAATTTATAAGATACTTTTTTGTATTTTGTTGTTCATGTTACTTTTTTATTTGTTATTTAAATCTGAACAAGATTGTAGTGTAAAAACATGTATGCCCCCTATCCGCAGCCAATTAGTCCATGTGATAAATTATTATGCATGACTTCTGACCCAGTGATCAACAATTAATAGGGTTATCAAGTATCTACTGGTCATGACCTTAAACCTTTGACCAAAACTTAATAAGGGGTCATCTGCTAGGTCACGACAATCATCATTACAAGTTTTGAAGTTCCTAGGCCTAAGCGTTTTTAGTTTAATTGATCACGAAACCGTTTATTACCTACAAGGTCAATGAGACCTTGACCCCTTGACCCCAAAATCATTAGGTCCTCTGCTGGTCATGACCAATCACCATACCAGAGTTTGAAGTTCTAGGCCTAAGGGTTCTTTAGTTATTGATCGGAAACCGTTTTTAAACATACAAGGTCAATGTGACCTTGACCTTATTGACCCAAAAATCAATGGGGTCATCTGCTGCTCATGACCAGATCACCATGCCAAGTTTTGAAGTTTCTAGGCCGAAGGGTTTCTTTAGTTATTGTCAGAAAAACCGTTTTACTTACAATGTCAATGTGACTTGACCTTTGACCATTCATCCCAAAATCATAGGGGTAATCTGTAACTGGTCATGACAAATACCAAATACCAAGTTTGAAGTTGCCTACGCCTAAAAGTTCCTTAAGTTATTGATCAGAATTCCGTTTTTACTTACAAGGTCAATGTGAACCTTGACCTTTGACCCCTTGACCAAAACTCAATAGGGTCATCTGCTGGTCACGACCAAATCATCATACAAAAGTTTTGAAATCTTCTACAAAGGCCCAAGGCGTTTTTTTAGTAATTGATCGGAAACCGTTTTTTACCTACAAGGTCAATGTGACCTTGACTTTTGACCCTTGTCACAAAAATCAATAGGTCATCTGCTGGTCCATGACCAATCACCATTACCAAAGTTTGAAAGTTCCTAGGCCTAAGGGTTCTTAAGTTATTGATTGGAAAGCATTTTTACCTACAAGGTCAACGTTACCTTGCCTTTGACCCTTTAACCCAATATCAATAGGGTATCTGCTGGTCATGACCAATGACCATTACCAAGTTTGAAATGTTCTACGGTCTAAGGTCTTTAGTTATTGATCGGAAACCGTTTTTTACCTAAGAGGTCAATGTGACTTGACCTTTGACCCCTTGACCCCAAAATCAATAGGGGTCATCTTCTGATCATGACCAATCACCATATCAAGTTTGAAGTCCCTAGGCTAAGGGTTCGTTTAGTTATTGATTGGAAACCGTTTTTTTTTTTACCTACAAGGTCAATGTGACCTTGACCTTTGACCCTTAACCCCAAAATCAATAGGGGTCATCTGCTGGTCATAACCAATCACCATACCAAGTTTGAAGTTCCTAGGTCTAAGGGTTCTTTTGTTATTGATCAGAAACCGTTTTTACCCAAGAGGTCAATGTGACTTTGACCTTTGACCCCTTGACCCCAAAATCAATAGGGGTTATCTACTGATCATGACCAATCACCATACCAAGTTTGAAGTTCCTAGGCCTTAAAGTTCTTTAGTTATTGATCGGAAACCGTTTTTGCTTACAAGGTCTATGTGACCTTGACCTTTGACCCCTTGACCCCAAAATCAATAGGGGTCATGTACTGATCATGACCAATCACCATACCAAGTTTGAAGTTCCTAGGCCTTAAAGTTCTTAAGTTATTGATCGGAAACCGTTTTTGCTTACAAGGTCAATGTGACCTTGACCTTTGACCCCTTGACCCCAAAATCAAAAGGGGTCATCTACTGATCATGACCAATCACCATACCAAGTTTGAAGTTCCTAGGCCTTAAGGTTCTTTAGTTATTGATCGGAAACCGTTTTTGCTTACAAGGTCAATGTGACCTTGACCTTTGACCCCTTGACCCCAAAATCAATAGGGGTCATCTACTGGTCATGACCAATCACCATACCAAGTTTGAAGTTCCTAGGCCTTAAAGTTCTTTAGTTATTGATCGGAAACCGTTTTTGCTTACAAAGTCAATGTGACCTTGACCTTTGACCCCTTGACCCCAAAATCAATAGGGGTCATCTACTGATCATGACCAATCACCATACCAAGTTTGAAGTTCCTAGGCCTAAGGGTTCTTTAGTTATCACTCGGAAACCATTTGGTCTACGGACCGACAGACCGACAAGTGCAAAGCAATATACCCCCTTTTCTTCGAAATGGGGGCATAATAATAAAATCTGATTATTACCCAGCCAAATCATTTAATTTAACCATTTAAATGTTTGTTTCTGGTTCCGGTGGCTGTTTCTGGTTCGATGGTGAAGGACGTGTAAAATTAGAAGAGGAAAATATATCAAGAAAATCTGGAGAAATATCTATCAAAGGACTGACTGCAGTACACAAAGAAATTATAAAATTATAGGGAACAATATGAAGCCGTTATTTTAGTAAACATTTCTACAGCTAGAAAAACTATGTTGGTTAACTGACTGCAGTAATAACATATGCGTCACTAACTGCAGTGCACTAGATTTGAAGAATTGCTTGAGAAGGATAGGAAAATTCCAAAATTTGCAAAGTACAGTAGAGTAGTAATATTAAATGACAGTAAAGGATCATATTTGGAAACAGAACATTGCAATTTTAATAGGCCAAACATAGATTTACTTTTTTGGTTACCCCAGGTAGAAATACAACAGATGGTCTAATCTATCTCACCACTGATACTGTCAAATTAAGAGATGGGGTCAAAACAGTCATTCACTTCTGGCATTTCCCTTGTGACATCACAAAAGAATGGACAACTGCATTTATCCAATGCATACAAACAGCACTGACCTCATTGATAATATCAAACCATTCCTTGAATTATTGATAGAAATAAATCTGACAGAACAAAACATAGATATTGGATTATTAGAAGTTCCACCTATTTTCCCAAGACAATATAACAACAGTAAAAGCAATAACCAAGATTCAGACCTAGTTAACACAGTTAGTAAATCAAAGACGCAGATTAATTGCATTAGTTACTTTACAGTATGAGTAAATATATGAATGTTTGTACATATTATAAATATGCCTTTTCTTTACTCATTTATATTATACATATAGATCTTGTATTTATGTATACTGTAAATATGATCCTTTGTACGAACTGTAATATGCATATTATATTCAATATTATGTAAATGCTCTTCAGTTATGGAGGAAATAAAGATAAAAATAATAACTTGCATAAATCTTTTAATTATCAATATTGACATTTAATTATCGATATTGACAGGGGCTTTTTATTATTAAGTCTGTTACCTGGTTTATATACTTTAGATCAATCTATTTAAGTTGGTAGGCACGATCATCTCCCTTCAAAATTAGCAACTTGTTTTGATATGCTTGACTGATTTTATTGTATTCATCCCCGGTATTATAAATTAGTTGTTCTACTGGTTTTTTGCACATTTTTCATGTAATGTTTAATTTTGGTGGTCTTTACTGTGGCCATTTAGAAAAATATATGATATTTTAGTTGTTAATTCTTTTTTGTTGGATACAATTTTACATGGTCCAGTTTAACATTTTTTTCTGATGAGTTTTCCAGTGGGGAAAAACTTTCTCGTGTTCTGTATTTGTTTTTTTTTTAACTTTTAATACAGAACTATATGTTATATAAGTTCTGCTTTGAATGAGGAGAACAAGAGTTAGGAAGGTTATTGTCAATAAAAAAATGGCTATGGGTTTTAGTCCCATCAGTGCAGGTGACGTTACTACGACTAAGCATAGCACGGAAGATTTGAGTCCTATGGTTTCTATGAAACTTTCTGGCAGTAAATGTACTGTAGTCACAATTCCGGACAAAATTGGCAAAACCAGCATGGTTAAGTCCCAAGGAAAGCATGTTTCTGGGAAAGAAAGTACCGCTCCGGTTCCGGGTTAATTGAGTCTACCTGTCGGAGCCCCGGATAAATCAGACGAGGTAAAACTTACTGCTTCACCAGCAAAGCTTTTCCGTGATGCAGATGAGAGAAAGAGACTGTTGGCTCGTCTTGCGGAATAAGATGAGGCACAGAAGGACAAAAAGAGTTGAAGTTGCTCCATAAGCGTGTTGCGGAAAGAGAAGCTGTGGTGAAACTCATATTGTATTTTCGTACATTTTGCCTTGTCTTTGTGATTATAAAGATACCAATGCAATTGTAGCATGAAAGTGGCTTATCAAAGTAATTAACTCTTTATCAGACCAAAAAAGTGAATAACTAGAAATGTGTCCACAGGACACGTGTGCCCCCACATTCCACTGTTTTGTCAATCTTTTGACTTTATGTCAAATAATTTTTGGGCTTTATGTGCCATAAGTAGTGCTAAAAAGCAACAGAACAAGAGGCGTTTAAGTAATTGGCCAATGAGTAACATTTTGGAAATAATAACAGGATACCAAAAATAAAAAGCTTTGAGAAATAGAAATAAAATCATTTCTAGGGCATCATGGGCCTTTAACATCAATATTATAAAATTTCAATTCATAGAAATATCAAATGTATGGTGGAACTGATCTTAATTAAACCTACTTCCCTTATTTTGTATGGTTAAAAAACACGTTTTAAGTGAAAATCTGGTTAAACATTTTAAATTTTATCAAGTAAATGTATATTTCTGTCATCATTTCAATCATCATTTCATTTCATCTATTTCAACCTTTCGAAACACGAAACTAACTCTCCATGTAAAGATTCTTCAATACACTGACTCACCCTTTCTGCATCTTGAAAACTTCTTGTTTTCTTGAATAATATAACCAAACCCATTCCTAGTAATTACCAAATAAATGTTGCAATTTCAAACTGCCAGTGCTCTTTGATTTCTCACTTTTATCCATATACAAAAGTTATTAAAACTTTTCCTTTCAAATCTTGTATCACAACTAGATTCATTTTCCTTCCAGCTGGTAGTTGTACACAAATTCAATATGTAGGAAACTCTGGATCCACTGTCTTTGCCCAGGCTGTCAGTCCTCCTTTAATATCTTTTATCACAGCTTTATGAGTAGATAACTCTTGTTTAATTTTCTGTACAGCTAGCTGAGAGTCGTTTCCCCTTCTACATACACAGATTACAGGCACTTGTTCTGTGGTTTGACCAAGTGAGTCTATGCTAGCAGATAGCTGATCTATACTTGATGACTTATGTATAGCCCCTATTGGAATATCTAGAATATTAGTTAAGATCCGTATGAATTTCAATAATTGTTATTCAATTTCTAAATGCTAAAGACTTCATTTTTATAGTGTTAAATTATTCATCATAACAGGAAAATTTCATAGAATGTACCAATTGAATAATGATAAGTGCAGACCATGATCAGACACCAGATGTGTGCTGGCTGTTCTTGGTCTACACTGGGCGCAGTCAGCATACTCTAGGGTAATGATAAGACAAAGGATACTGACAGCAGACTTGGGTAACTGACATATGTCCATCTCTACAGGTTGTCTTACATCTAGTAATACATGTGGCTGACCACTGTCCAACAATGACTTGTACTCCTACAGTGTAATATATCAAATTATCAGAAAAAACATCATATAACCAGAAACACATAATCTAGTACTAAATCTTGTTGACCATTGTCCAACAGTGACTTGTACTCCTACAGTAATATATCAATCAGAATTACAACATGGACACTTGCGATCTTTATTAAATGAGTTTCACAGGAAAAAAGATGTGGGCATTAATATGTACTCATCTAAAAGCTCATAGAACTTATGTGACTTTGACCAACTTTTACGTTACACAGTGATCAACAGAAATTATACTACAAAGTATGTGTTTTATCAGCAACTAGACAAGTTAGATTTTGAAAATTATTTTACTTCTCATTTAGATGAACCCAAGTGGACTTAATGGCTTTGGTCAAACAAGACCTACAAATGTGTCATTATTATTCAAATAAGACAATGTCAGTCATCGGGAAACTTAACTAATAACTTTTTTTATTTTTGAAAGATGCAAACAACATAATCCATTTAAAAAAAATACAGAATTTGAAATTCCCTGAAACATTATATTCTCTAAATTGTATGTTTAATTATTATATTCATATAAAAATAACATAAATTTTACCTTTGCTGTGATTCTGTCATTGGTCCCCAATACCTCAATGTTCTTGTCCTTTAAAAAAAAATTCCAGTCATGTGTTATTTCTATTATTAACCCTTTAAATGTCTCTATACAGAGCAAGCCATGCTAGCCAGCAAACATATGCTGCCTGGCCATGCTCTATTCTAGTACATTGCTAAGCTTCACAATGTAAGCATTTTACACCCCTCATGTTTCTCACATTACCAAATGAAAAGTTCCAGAGTCATAGCAGGACAAGTTGTTATACAAATCAAGCATGAGAATGATTAAATTAAATTGTTGCTTCTTAGTCTACAAAACTATTAAACCATAAATAAATTTTCTATCATCATTTTTCACATAACAAGATATGACTAATCTTAATGAGGGGCCAGATATAACTCAGTTTTCAGTTTTGAACAAACTTTACTTTTCTTTAACCTTACCAAGCTAATCATTTCAAATCAGCTTGTTTATATTTCAATCTGGACAAAACCAGTCATCACTTTTAGGAGTTTCAAAATATTTTTACTCACTGAATGGTCAACAGAGCTGACTATGATTGGTTCAAGCTGATCTTGGTCTGCACTGGTTACATTGGTAGATCCTAGTGCTCGAAGACCTAAAGTGCCCCTCTGTGCATATTTTCAGGCACCAGTGGGGCACCTAAGTAGAACCACCGACATTCCATAAGCTAGCTGAATACATTCCTCTCATGAAAGAATCCAAAGTCCCCATTGGGATTCAAACCTACAGCGGTGAGGGGCAAGGTTTGGAGTCAACAACCTTGACCACTCAGCAATAGACGCCCCCCTTTTTTTTTAGCTGGCTAAGGGTTAAATAAAGATAACTTTTCAAAGCATTTGAGAAACTTAGCTAAATTTTATTTGAATTCAAAAACACCAAGATCTTATAGGAAAATCACTTACCTTGTCTGTTGCCTTTGCCCCACAGAATTGTTCATAATCTATCAGTTGTGTTATAGTAGGATTATCACCACATACAGGACAGGTGGGTTGTCTGCCCCTTAGACGTATTGTACGGAATGTACCATCTAATCCATCATACATCAATAACTTCTGACTATATGAACCTTCTATGTTAAGGAGAATTCATTTGCAAAATATATACAATAAACTGGTATTACTTTGACAAGGTATGCAGCTGAATGCGTATTTAAAATGCTTAAAAAAAAGTACAATTGTATACTTTTTCTAGAACCAATATTCACTAACTCCCAAGAGGAATTCCGAATTTATTTATCATTATTTAATTGAATATTTTAATTTAAACACAGGTTAAAAATTTCTATCATACTATTTTGTTAGTAACACACCAAAGTGTTATGTGAAATACACTATTTCATTAAACACTATAAATGCCAGCAGAAATAGTGACTTGTCTATGCCATCAGTATGGGGTCAGCTCAGGTAGATGTACACACTGACTTTTTTATGTTTTACGTCAGGCCAACTGTAATGGTAATATGGCAACTTTCCAGCTTTAGTCAATTTAGTGGTGGAGGAAGACCTGAGGTGCCTCACTGTGCATTATTTCAGGGACAAGCCCACACTTGTAGAAACACCAACATTACGTAAGCTAGCTGTACAGCTTCCTCACATGATATAATTCAAAGTCTTTGTCAAATTCAAACCAACAGCAATGAGAGCTAAGTGGTTTGAAGCAATCAACTTTAACCACTTAGCTGCCAACACCCCAATGCAGGCTGACAACACTGGATACTGATGGCTGCTTTACTCAACCAATTTGATAGCAAAACCCCTAACTTTAACAATAGAATGTTCCAAACTCAAAAACAGGACAAGTCCATTACACCAATTTAGCTTGAAAATTGTAAAATATACTAGGCATTTCATCACAGGAAGACCTAGGTGCAATGAGTACATTTCCAATGACTGTGATTTTTACACAGAATTGGACATACATACAGGTTATACTGTATGGTATATCATACATCAAAGGATACTGTCAAGCCCAGCAGCTATTTTAATTGCTTCTAAAGCCTGTAAACTACCAATTATACCAGGAACTGAAAATATAAGATTACAATGCAGATTATTACAATTTCATCACATACAATCTTTGATTTATTTCATAAAATGAACAAGGACAAAAGAAAGTTTTTATTAATAAAAGGAATATTTAAACCTGCCTGCCCTTAAAAATTAAATTCTGGTAAACATGCAGTCTATGTCTTATTTAGCCTATGTCTTATCAATTAGAAGAATTTCTCATTATTGATATCTAAAAAATATCAAGCAACTGTAAACTTATGGTCTAGATACAATTTTGTAAAGTGGTAGTTTTGAAAAATAAAAGTGAGGTTCATTACTTGTTTGTGTATGAAATAATCGAAATGCTATTTATGAGGGTGTACATGTAAATTGAAATGGACTACAGCTGAATGACATTGATGACATGTGAAATGATGTACATGTATATCATAGGATATAAAAAAACTTGAGGTACATACTATCGCAATTGGCACTGTGATATCAATCTAAATTAATAAATCAAATCCTTTTACTATTATTTGAAATATAATACATAAATAAATACATTATATTATTATTGAATGACCTTTACCTGTAGGATGACAAAAATTTGCTGAAATTTACTTACTGACTCCAAGGACACCACCATCTGAGCAATTAGTGACGGTCTCTGGGGGTGGGGGTTTCGGGTATAAACATCTATAACATGGTCCACCCTTGTAATTATACACTGTCAACTGTAAAAGAGAAAAGTTTTTAAATCACAAGGTACATATAAATAATTTTCAAGTTTTACGAAGTCAGTAATTTAAACCACTAAAAATGACTATAGAAAAACAAAATAGCTTATAAAAAATATTTAAACAAGTTAAATAGTTTTACAAATTTATACAGCTTTTTTTTTTGTTGGTGGGGGGGGGGGTGCAGGGGTTGGAATTTACATTGCACCCACACAGTATAGGTCAAATGAAGACTTTCCAATTTTATTTAAGTGTCCCTTTATTCATTATTTCAGGTACAAACGGGCACCTGAGTAGAACCACCAATATTCAGTAAGCTAACTGGATAGCTGTTTCACATGAATGAATCCAAAGACACTAGTGCAGCTTGTATCTACATAGGTGAGAGGCAAGCGGTTTGAAATCAACTAACTTGGCCAAAGACACACCTTTTTATATAGCTTAGCATAAATATATGTAAAAAGGAAACACAATTATCTTTCTCTAAAAGATAAAGCATTATCTTGATCAAGTATAACACGATAAAGACATTTGTATATACCTGTCCTTCAAACCTAAGAGCACTGCCTGAGACTAGTGGTTTACCAGCCAGTATACAGGCATCGTTGAGCAGATATCTGGTGGCCACATTGTCTGTACAATCTAGTACAATATCATATCTTATACTTGTTAAGGATTTTTCACTATCATAAAACTTAACCATAGTAAATCTATACATTGCATATGTCTTGATTTTATGTAGGAATTGTAAGTAGAGTTTATGTGATTTGTTTCTTTGTTTTTTCTTAAGATGCTTTTTGAAATAAACATGGCATGATAAATCTTTCAGTCAGAAAGTATCATTTATATGATGAATTAAGTCACAGATCTTAATTACAATTCATGGTTAGGTGTATTGTTGCACCTTTACTAATGACACTTAAAAAGCATAGTGAAGTTGGCATAAAAAATGACACTTAAGTATATTGTTACACTCCTCACATTTTTTTCTACTGTTTCATAGTTAAACCCTACATAAAATTGAACCATTGAAAGAATTTTGAAATCAATTCATTGTCTAATGCAAAATAATACTTGTATAAAAACATGTTCCAGAAACTGCTAAGTCTTTGGTATGTACTTGTTTTATTTCCAATTAAGAACAGCTGTATGTTAGTTTAAAGGACTAAAGATTGAGCCAACAAAAGTATAGAATAAGTCTTGTCAGACTGCCTAAGTGTAAGCTGGTCTTGCTCTATACTGAATGACAAAGCCAAGGCATTTAAGCTGTTAACAATTTAAAGCATGGCTTTAACTCACTACAGTGTTGAAACAGTGCATCTACATGCTTGAAGTAATCATGATCTCAAAAATAATATTGTTTTTTTTGCCGATTCTTACATTAATTATTCAATTTTGAGTATAAATCAGCATGAAGAGATGAATTTGGCATCTTAAAAAGCATTTCAGAGGTTGAAAAGGCGAGATTTTAGCATTTAATCATTCAAGCCTCTTGTCCGGTATATACTACAATACAGTACCTTGGGTGGTGCTCTAACACTGTTTTTCTCTCACACTGTTAAAGGATACTGTTGTATAATGTCTAGTGCATTAGAACTATTTAGAGGCAGATGATATGGTACACACTTCACAAACGAGTTTAAACTGTCAATAAAACAAAAGTATATATAATTAATAAATGCATACATTCACAAGAGCACAGCATATGGAGTTAATGCTTGTCTGTTAAAAATTCTAAGGTAAAAGGGGCATAAGTCCAAAAATACTGTTTTCAGAATTATGCCACTCTTTTGGTAAAAGGGGTATAACTTCAAAAATATGCTTCCAGAGTTATGCCTCTTTTCTTGCTGCATCTTGTCAAGATAAGCAAGTATTACAAGTTTCATGTTAATAATGTTTGAAAAGTAGGATACACTTTTTTTTTGCACAACTACAACAATGACAATAATGCAGCGATCATAATAGCTTGACTTTTTCTTCGAAACATCATGAATTACCAGTAAATATTAAAAAGTAGTGTCAAAATATTTGTAAAACCCTCATTTTTTACATTTACCAGCCTTTATAGGCTCTGATAGTCACTTGGATAATAATCACTTGGATTATATGCATACAAAAAGATTTATACAAAATTATTGCTGGCACTGAACTTTGGTACATTTCTAATATTTAATAGGGTAAAATATACTGAAAGAAGCTATGTGACATAATTAACAGAATTTTACATGGGGTCTGAAGAAACATAAACCTGACTTCATGACTATTGTTGAGTAACATGGTGTTGCATTTTGGAACTCTGAATTTTCATCTCTATTCACAATATTAAACAAAGGCTTTGATGATAAAATACCTATTACATGCTTGCGCTGCTGACAAACTTTTCTGCATACCAACTTTGACCTCTGAGTGAAGAATTTGTCTGTGGAGGTTGCTCAAGTCCACCTCATCAAAGTCAACCAACCCTAAACATCCTGAAAACAAAAATAATAAACCCCTTCTATCTAAATGTCTGTAAGGTACAAAATAATGGTTCCTTTCTTCAATTTCTAAACCCTTGAGCCCAAAAAATATCTTGAGACAGAACAGTGATTGAATTTTGTCATAAGATTTTCATGATGTACATGTATGTTTTGTACAACGAGCATGTGCATTAAACTGTTTACATTCAGTCGCAGTCAGTACGTTAAATGTGAATAAGCAAGCTAGCAGCAATAATGGTTTTTGTATGCCATCAGTATAGAGCCAGGCCAGTCTGTACATCACTGCAGTCAGACCTGACTCTACACTAATGCCTGCTCATTTACAATATTGCATTATGAAGAAATTCCTTAAACATATGAAGGATAGTTTTGCATTGCTCACGAACAAATCCATAACACATATTTAGTAGGGTGATGGTAAATGCTAAAAATAATTAAAGCAGCCTTCAGCTTTTATTTTTTTGCTGGAAAAACAATTCTGTGTTGTTTCAAAGTAAGAATCTCAGTAATTTTATCTTGGAAAAGAGCATCATATCGCCATGAAGCCTTCTATAAAGCAGCGTCTTGAGAACTATTTATAGCGTGTCAGTGACATTCGTTTCTAAAAATAGAAAATTGGGAAACAAATCGCCCGCTTCACTAATTTACATATTATGGGGATTGGAGATATTGAGGGGTTTCCTTAGTGTTTATGTATTTTATCTACAGCAAATTTCCTTTTCCACCTTACTTCTTTTGACAATAATATGAATGGATTTATCTAAAAATAACATAGAAAGGCTGAAAGCTGTCTTAAAGACAACCAATTTTTATATACCCAAACTTTCTGACTAAACTTACCTATACCAGCAGCAGCCAAATAAACAGCAGACGGACATCCCAGGCCTCCGGCACCAACAATCAGGACTGAGGTATTACCCAATGATATCTGTCCTGAATAGATAATTAACATCAACTCAACAGTGGTCATTTACTAACAAATATAGATATAGGATACACTAACAGTGTAAGCAATATATGTATGTGTCAGTATAAAGTTCACAATCGTTAGACAAAATATTTCTATCTGATAAATTACAGTAGAACTTCAATTAGTCGATTTTCTCGATGTGTCGAAGAAAAATGAAAGTCCCGACTTTTCCCCCTTTATGTTCCTTATAAAAACCTATTTATGAGTCGAGATTTTATGTGTCGAATTTTTCGATGTGTCGAAGTTTTTTCGTGGTCCGTATAAAGTAAATCTAGTGCAATTTACCACAAATAAGTCGAAGTTGTTCAATTATTTTGACACCTTCGATCTCGAGACATTTTTCACACCTTATCTGGCTGCGAAGACGATTTCCAATCAACTTGTGTGACAGGTGTAAATTACACAGTCGTGTGTACAAACAGCCTTTGTTTGCGATAAAATACTTTAATCGTTTCTATTTTAATTGCCGTAGTGGTATTTGAAAGTAAACAGTAAGAACTACTTTCCTTTGAAAACATCCTTGACCCGGTGTCGCGTGAGAATAACAAGCGAAATATTTACTATAAGCCGGTTTAGTTATCGCCCTTTCGTATTGTTACGCCTTTTGTAACTCTGTTGTATACGTCAACGGGTAGTCCAAATAATTAGCCAGGAAAACATTATTTAACATGCTATATTTATCATTGTAAGATGTAAATATCAGATTTATGATGGAAAAACATGAAAAAGGTTTCCTTATACATCTTATAATTAAAACTCGAAATTTTGTCATGGAATTGAGAGCGATTCATGAGTCAAAGTCCCGATTTGTCGAAGTTTTTACGCAAGTCCCTTCAACTTCGAATTACCGAAATTCTACTGTATATGTAACTCAATGTCACTCTTTTCATTTGTAGCTTCAAAATTTTAACATGCTTCACTTATTCTCATTATTAGGATTATAATTCAACAGATAGGACAGTCCAGTGCTTTATTATACAATATATGCACAGCATGAAAAAGGAATGCTTACATGCCATGCCAATAAACTAAATGATGACAGGAAAATTACTTCTACCCTCAATATCATTCAACATATTTTTATCAATTCTCATTTTTATAAGCAAGTTAGAATGGAACAAGATATTCATTTTTCTTGCGTTGAAGTATAATAATGCAAGGTTAGCCCATGGACATTTGTGTAAATTGATCACACTCTTAACTGTTTGTAGCTCATTTTTTTAAAAATTAAGAAATTTCTTGATTTTTTAAACCTACAACCTACTGAATTTCTTCAGTTTTATTGTGCTTCCATTTTTAGGACATTCCATTATCATTTTAGGGATATCAAGTGTAAATGGACTGCTGCAAATTCAAAGTAGGGCAAATCCATTACATGCTGCAGGTTTAGATTTAAGTAAACAAACATAACCTAAAAATACCTTTAACACCTATTTCAGGTAGAATAAGTTGCCTGCTGTATCTAGATATCTCTGCATTAATCAATTTATCTTTCTTTGCACATGGCTTTTTGCAATGTTCAACATCAGATTCTGTATAGACGTCTGTGGGTGTAACTTTCAACTATCAAAAGAAAATGCTAGTTGCTAAAAAATAGGTATGAAAACAAATATTCAAATATCAGAACTTTTTAAATTTCTTAAAATATCAGGAATTTCAACAAAATTACTGAATACATCATATAAGCAGCATCGCTGTTAAATCTCCAATGACAAGCCTGATTCTTTTATAATATTGCCCCGGGCAAATACATAGCAAACAGACTCACACAAATTCACACATGGTCAAATGTGAATGTGTCAAAATCTTTTAATTTTAGGTGCTCAGTCCAAAAATAACAAGGCAGACAAAAGCCTTCCTGTGAGAATGACTTGGCGGACAAAAGCCCTCCTGCATCAAATACATATATGAGCCGCGTCATGACAAAACCAACGTAATGCGTTTGCGACCAGCATGGATCCAGACCAGCCTGCATATCCGCGCAGTCTGATCAGGATCCATGCTGTTCGCTTATCAACTCTATTACAAGTAGAGAAACTGATAGCGAACAGCATGGATCCTGATCAGACTGCGCGGATGAGCAGGCTGGTCTGGATCCATGCTGGTCGCAAACCCATTATGTTGGTTTTGTCATGACACGGCTCATATGTACATTGAACAGTTTGTATTTTCTTTTCTATGCACTCTGAACATATTAAAATTGTAATCATGAATATTTTTGTTTTCTATTGGCATAAGCATGTTTGTATGAGCAGGAGTGATTATATCTGTAAGTGCACATTTATTCACGTAAATATAAAGGGATTACTCCCATTTGAAGTTCAAAGATTAGTAAAGTAATAAATGATAAACAGAAGTTTAAATTTACTAAAATTAAAAGTCCAAGACATATTAAATAAACAGAATCAAAGTCTTATTCGGTCTCCATTATGAGATAGGCAAGTACTAGACACAATGTAAAGATTTTAAAATTGATTTTTTTACTAAAACAATTGAAATAACTACTTTAGAACTGTCAGAGAAAGACCAATAATAAAATTTGTATTATTGTAGCTGTTGTCAGTCTCCATATTTGCAGGCCTAGAGATCGGAGGAGACCAGAAAATTAGAGGGGTTTCAATGTTGACATATGCACGGTGCCACCTGCTACTATAAGAGATGGGCGATTTAAAACTTGATTTCTGTTGAGAAATTAAGTGGGATTATGAATTGTGTCTTCAGTTCTTTATTGACATCTTATAGTAAATTGCTTCTTAGCGCTCCCAAAACTTCTAATTGGGCAGTGTCCATGCAGAAAATGCAGTAAGTGGCTGAACTTGGAAAAAGACATCGGTCGTTCAGAAATATAACACAATGTCTTTTTGACGATAGTAATTAAGAATAGTTGTCTGAATGGAATTTGGAGGTTATATACCATGGACGAAATGTACCACTGCATAAATGTACCATTTTTGGAGGTTATGTACCACATATATAGAAAAAGTTAAAAAAAGGGATAAAGAAAAAAATGTTTATATCTGTGCATTTATTTATCTTTTGTATTCTAATAATGAGATTACAATTATAATATATTATAGTATTTCATAGCTTTTAATTTGTTTGTGTTTAAAGTATCCTATGAGCAATAACTACCTATTATTAACTTAATATAGCCATGAGAGCCATCAGCCTGAAGAATAAGTAAACAACTCAGCATTGGTTAGGCAGCCTTTCAAAAATTCCAATGTTTTCCAATTTCCTAGCCGCCTTTTGAATGTTTACACATCTGTCAACACTTATTCATTGTCTGTTACAATCCTCAAATAAGTTTCCTTTCTTCTAAAAAATGTATGAATAACAAAACCAAATGATATCCCTCTGAATCAAACACAATTATTTCCCTAATATATATGGGAAGAGGCCTTTTATTGGAGTCTGTTAATATACAGGTAGGAGAATCACTGTAAGGATGGATGGTTTGACTTTATCTCCTACTAGTGTTGTTTGTTTTTATTATTAAAACAAGCTATCATTCATATTATTTTAATAAAAGGAATAATATCATCGCCATTTAACGTTGATTGTCAAACTTATTTTTCAGCCCAAGACTTCTTATATTTTATGAGAAATTCGACTAAATGAGGCTACCAGTGGGGAAAACAGATTTTAACATAAAGTTAATATTAAGGAAATTTCATTTAAACTTGTTTTTCAGCATAAATAAAAATAAATATTTTTTTGTTTGTTTGCTAAACCACTCGTGAGAGAGAATACTGTATTTAAAGCACACTCAATGAAATAAAATTTCATCTTACACACAAACAAACAAATATCCTCTATGAATTTCACAAAAATTAGAAGAAAATATATATCAATGGTGATTGGTCATATACTTCAAAATATATAAGTGGTATGCAACTTCCAAAAATGGTTCGTAACCACCTGGTATGTTTCCTCCATGTTACCACCTGGTATGTTTCCTCGAATTAGTAACGATTGCCACAATCACGATTCGCCACAGTCAAATAACGATTCGCCACAGTTTAATAACGATTCGCCACAGTATGGTTATAACAATAATTTTCTTAGTTTAAATAGTCCTAAATCAATTATATCAACATTTTTTTTTAAATAATTCGACCAGGACAATAATAATGTTTCTTAATATAAGTAATGTGAAGTTATGGCCCCCAGTGCAGATTTTCAATTTGAAGCATTTTGTTAACAATACAATTCTTTAATTATGTATTTTTTTGTGTACCTGAGACATTTTCCAATCTATTCCTGTCAAATAACACTTAATTTAGCAGATAAGACTTAATTGATGCCATGTCATTTCCTTACTGTGTTATTAGTTTGGGGAATAAGGCTCCCACGTTTACAATTTTTTGTAAACGTTTACACGATTGCAAAGAACCGAAACGATACCGTTTAAACGATGGTGTCTCTATGCACTATATACATGTATATCATGCATTTAAGTCGCCAAATGGTGACTTACTTTCTATTTTTTATACATGTACAAATAAAGAATGTTCAGGACTCAATATGATTGAGTCGGCACACATTTTCTGCATTGTATCCCCATTTTTATTAAAAATGTATTATGTCAGGAGCAATTTTTGCACGGTAAGGCTGTGTGGAGGGTTTATTCAAGTTTGCCAAAATTGCCCCCATTTTCCGTTTTTTACTTTGGAATAAACCACTAGAATTGATAAAATCCATGATAAAAGGCAATGATTAAGAAATGTTGTAGGCAATATGGTCATTTCGATTAAACGGTAAAAGTTATTGTAAACGTTTATGAATGGAAATCGAAACGAATCCGTTTAAACGTGTAATCGTGGGGGCCTTATTGGGGAATAGCATTGCACAGATTCGGCGTTACTTTAACGTTATTTGCACATTACTGCGATACTGGACGGTGATATATGTCAATTAATATTTTTATTGATATATATATGTAGAGTATGGTTTGGGTACAATAGATGACCAACTCTGACTGGGTGTTCAATATTTATTTTGATGATGTGTAAATGAAACCTATAAAATGAATAAACAATTATAAATACATGAAATACAAAACACAAATTAATTATAAATGCAATATCAATATCATTTCATATTTTAAACAATTTCAATTATTTAATTCATACATTCATGACATTTCATTACATTTATTTTAAGTAATTTAAAGTAAAATATATCTTACCAGGTGCAACTGGCTGACCTCTATTATATAAAATTATAAATATCAAATCCGTTCTATAAAGAACAATTCTATAAAGAACAAACGTTAAGTTGATTTATATAAATATAATATTTTTTCAAAATGTTCTATAAAGAACTACTGATGTTAACTTTACAATGCAAAGTTTGAAAATGATTTCTTAGAAAAGGAATGTAAATTGCCCGTGCATAAAATGATATGAAATCACTCTCATCCAATCACATTCTTACTTAACAAATATACAAGATGTTTATTGGACATCACTTAACAACACAGGACATAACAAGATACAGTTCACTGAGCATAGTAACTCACAAAAAGAACAAGACATTACCCATAATTCTTATAATGATGAATGAAAATGATGTCATGTGATTATGCCTGAATGAATGCAAATGTAAAGTTAGTTATTCACTACAGTGATTACAACTGTGTTTGTAAATATAGGATGAGTATACAGATAAGCAGTAAATTGACCTTATCTACACATACATGTCAAATAAAAACTAGAAATGTGTCCATAGGACACGGGTGCCCCCACCGCGCCACTGTTCTCTCAATCTTTTTACTAAGTCAAGGGAAATAACTCTGTAAATACTGGATAAATCCACAAGCGAAACCCCAGGTGCAAATCTAAAATATGCTGAGCAACCTGCCCATAAGGTTTAATGACTATGTCAAATCCTTCTTGAGAAACTTGCGACACAAGTTGAAAATTGCAAAAATTTTCAAAGTGAAGGGCAATAACTCTAAAAATACCTAATAAATCCAGACGAAAATACCTGGTGCACAACTGCACATGCTGATCAATATTCCTGTAAAGTGACATGACTCTAGGTCAAATACTTTTTGAGTTACGTGCGACACAAGTTGAAAATTGCCAAATTTTACTAAGTCAAGGGCAATAACTCTGTAAATACTAAAAATATCCAGAAGAAAATACCCAGGTGCACAACTACACATGCTGATCAACATTCCTGTAAAGTTTCATGACTCTAGGTCAAATACTTTTTGAGTTATTAGCGACACAAGTTGAAAATTGCAAAATTTTACTAAGTCAAGGGCAATAACTCTGAAAATACTAAAAATATCCAGAAGAAAATACCCAGGTGCACAACTACACATGCTGATCAACATTCCTGTAAAGTTTCATGACTGTAGGTCAAATACTTTTTGAGTTACAAGCGACACAAGTTGAAAATTGCAAAATTTTACTAAGTCAAGGGCAATAACTCTGAAAATGCTAAAAATATCCAGACGAAAATACCCAGGTGCACAACTACACATGCTGATCAACATTCCTGTAAAGTTTCATGACTGTAGGTCAAATACTTTTTGAGTTACATGCAACACA